CTTGTGTGCCAACAAGACAAGGTGGAGCAAAGGCAACCGAGAGGGCTGCTGGAACCACTACCCGTGGCCGAATGCCCATGGGGAAGTGTGACCATGGACTTCATCACTTCCTTACCAAAGTTCGACGGGTATGGAACAATCATGGTCGTGGTGGATAGATTCTCGAAATATGCTACCTTCATGCCCGCCACAGCCGGTTGCACCTCAAAGGAGGCTGCTCGATTGTTCTTCAAGAACGTTGTGAAGTATTAGGGGCGGCCAAGGTATATTATCAGTGTGATCGAGACCCTCGTTTCACTAGGAACTTGTGGAGAGAATTGTTAGACATACTTGGCATAGAGTTGCACTTCTCCACTAGTTTCCACTCGTAGACAGACGGAGCGGGTTAACGCCCTATTGGAGTGCTACCTTAGGCACTCTGTTAGTGCGCACCAAAAAGATTGGGTAAAGCTCCTTGACATGGCACAATTCTCTTATATTTTGCAACATAGTGAGTCCACAGGGTGCACACCATTCGAGTTGGCGACTAGCCAACCCCCCCAAACTCCACATTCCCTACTGGCCGCTTTTCAAGGGAAGGGTTTGGGAGCCTATCATCTTGCCAAGGGATGGGAGGAGCAACTCGACACTGCCAAGTCGTACTTGGACAAGGCAGCGAAGAAGATGAAAAAGTTTGCCAACCGCAGGCGTCATCCCACAGTCTATGAAGTAGGAAACATGGTCTTGGTGAAGTTCAACCCAAGACAATTTAAAGCCCTAAGGGGCGTACATCAGAACTTAGTGCGAAAATATGAGGGGCCGTTTAAGATCATTGCCAAGGTAGGCAAGATCTCTTACAAGGTGGAGTTACCTCCACACTTCAAGATCCATCCGGTCTTTCATGCAAGTGTCCTCAAGCCATACCATGAGGACAAGGATGATACCAATCGGAACCAGTCAAGACGGGCGCCCATAACTGTCACTGCCTCGCATGGCCGAGAGATTGAGTCTATCATAAACTATCAAGCAAAACGAAAGTGAGGCCAGCAAGCCACTGCCATGTTCCTTGTACATTGGAAGGGACAAGCTCCGGAGGAGGCCACATAGGAGAGATATGAAGACTTGTGGCAATTTAAGGACCAAATCCGGGAGTTTTTACAACAACAATGTGTCGCGGTCGTCGCATCATTAGGTGGTGGACAGTGTCATGTCCTGCCACTTTGCCAGTCGAATTTTGCACCGGAATAAGGGAGGAATAATCTAGAGTTGTGGAGAGGTTAGTAAAGAACTCTAGAACTCCCTAGATACTTTCAAAAAGGCTTTAGAATTCCCTAGAACTTGTAGAGAATTCTAGAATGTGGACCAAAGGGTAAATATATAGGGACTTGTAATGTAAATATTATTTACATTTAGGCCCTTAGGGGGTAGTATAAATAGAGGGCCTCCCATTTGCAAACTCATCCAACAAAGTGTAAGCATTCCACAAGCAATACAACGCCTTCTTTCAAAGCTTTCTAAGTCTGTTTTTTATGACAAGGGAAACCCGCAGCTGCTACCCTTTGGGTGCGCACAGGGTAAAACCCCTGCTCCTATGCAATAGCTCGCAAACCACATAGGAGAGGTAACCCGCACTAGGCAAGCCCGGTGCGACGAGCTCGATCCAGAAGGCAAAACCCCTTGCTTTCGCTGGCAAGGGATTTCGAACTTGAGACCTCCAACATGGAAGTCCCAAACCACTGGGCACCCGAAGGGTAAAAGCTTTCTAAGTCTTTCTTTTCATTCTCTTAGCGATCTTAATTTCAAAAGGCTTACTTGAGCTTACAAGATCTTGAAAGATTAGTGAGTAAGTTGACAAGTGCCGCATGGAGCTTTAGTGAGACTCTAAGTCCATGAGGGTTGTGCTTGCAACCATTACATAATTGAGAGGTTTCCTTGGTTTAGTAGGGTATTAGAGGAGGTTTATCAAATGCATTGGGTCATCTGCAAGCCATTACATGAATTACTCAAGAAGGATAATTTTGGCTGGAATGAAGAAGCTACTGCAGCTTTTCTCAAACTCAAGGAGGCATTGGTGACTGCGTGAGTCTTGGGTATGCCAGATTATGATAAGCCATTTATCATTGAAACAGAAGCAAGTGGAATAAGTATTGGTGTTGTCCTGATGCAGCAAGGGCATCCTATTGCTTATATCAATAAGTCCTTAGCTCCCAAGCTCCCAGACATCAATTTATGTGCAGACCTAAAGTTATGTGTGTCTATGACCTAGAGCTACTAGCATTAATATTTGCTGTGACAAAATGGTCTCATACTTGTTGGGTAGACATTTTGTTATGAGAACTGATCAAAAAACCTTGAAACATCTGCTTGACCAAATCATACACGCTGTTTTCCAAGTGGCTGGAATTACCAAGCTTATGGGTTTTGACTTTTTCATTACATACAAGAAGAGTACTGATAATAAGGTTGCTGATGCCTTGTCTAGAAATCAGGGTGGGGAGCTATTGGCTATCTCCTTATTGGGTCTTCATGATGCTTTATATGACCAGATTAAACAATCTTGATTGTCTGTATGAGCAAGAGAAAAATCTTGATTTCTATGCCTTTAGAATGAAGGAGATTATCTCCTTATAAGGTTACAAGAAAACTATACATGGTAAAATACTATACATGGTAAATTCAATTAAAAATAATAATCTATACGAATATTATATAATCAAAATATATATGGTAGGTAGAAATTGTAACGGATGGTTATTAACATCCCCCTCAAACTGATGGTCGTCAACTAGCAGTTTGCCAATAAAGAATTCATGTTGTTTCTTCGTTTGAGACTTGCTGAAAAAATCTGCCAGTTGATCTCCAGAAGAAACACGAGGAAGAGAAATATGACTGTCATCAAATTTTTCCCGAACAGAGTGACAATTAATCTCGATGTGCTTGGTTCGTTCATGAAAAAAAGGATTGGAGGCAATCTTTACATCACTTTCATCGTCACAATACATGGATGTGGGAGAGGAAAAGTGCATGCCAAAATCAGCCAACAAACGACGCAACCGGACCACTTCACTCCATGTAGTTGACATGGCACGGTATTCTGCTTTAGTCGATGATTTGGATACTGATGCTTGTTTCTTGGACTTCCAAGATAGCAAGGAGTTACCAAGAAACAAACAATACTCGATGGCTGAACAAGTGTTGAGGCACCCACCATAATAAGCATTCGAGAAGGCGCACAAGAGAGTAGGTGAATCACGACGGTAATGCAGACTCATCGTTGCAGTCGATCGAAGATAACAGAGAAGCCGATGAACAACCATAAGCTGAAGGCGTCGACGGTCAGACACAAACTAACTAAGAATATGAACAACATGAGTAGTGTCAAGTCAAGTGACACTTAAATAGACCAAGCTCGCAACAAGACGTCGATAAAGGTTCGAATCCGAGAGAGGTTCCCCATCAGTCTTAGAATAATGACTGTTATGTTCCATGGGTGTATCAATAGTGGTCACATTAGTCAAGTGAGCCATGTCGAAGATTTCTTTGGTATACTTCCGTTGGTAGAGAAAGTAGCCACTAGCATTGCGAGAAATTTCTAGACCAAGAAAGTAAGATGTGTGCCCCAAATCCTTCATTTGAAATAAAGATTGTAACATACCTTTAAGCTACAAAATACCTTCAATATCATCCTCAGTAATCAAGAGATCATCGACATAGATTAGCACAAAAATCGTCCCTCGTGGTGAGGGAGAGATAAACAGAGAATAATCATTGTAACTCTGTCGATAGCCACCTTGCAGAAGAACAAACTTCAACTTGGAGAACCAAGCGCGTGGAGCTTGCTTCAAGCCATAAATGGCCTTCCACAGTTTGCATACCATGGATGGATAAGTGGAGAAGCTAGGAGGAGGCTTCATATACATCGTCTCGGATAACTCACCATTAAGAAAGGCACTAGTGACAGCCATTTGCGAGATATCCTATTGTCGAACTGCCGCAACAACCAAAAGAGTTTTACTTGTTATTTTTGTTCCTACTTTTTCTCATCTATTTTCTTTTTTGGTTGCCTTTGTCTATTTTATCTTTTTTTGATGACAAGGAAAACCCGCAGCCGCTACCCTTTGTGTGTGCACTTTTCTATTATTATCATCTACATGTGAGACATGGATTTAAATTCTGTTTTGAAAATAATACCTGACATGTTCACTTGTTTTCTTGTAAATAACTTGTGCCTTTTCTATTTCTCCAATAAAGCAGTTAAACAGCTTGTGTTTATTCCAATTCTAACGCCCATAAGTTTATCCACTAGCTTGGTTGAACATCATCTTAAAGAATCTTATCTCACAAATTGATACTCTCCTTTATAACGACCAAAATGTGTAATGCAAAAGAGTTACCCTATCGGAAAAAACAAAGTGTAATGCGAAAGAGTTTTACTTCGTATTTTTCTTTATCTTTGGGTGTTGTTTAGTATGGAGGAAAAATTATTTTCAATATTTCCATAGTTGGTTGGTAAAATTATTTTCCATAGGGAAACAAGCTTTTTAAAAATGAGGGAAATGACTTCCTTAATGGAAGTAGAGAAACGAGTTTTATAAGTAACTTTCAAGTTCATTGTCTCCTTCCCATCCATACAACATCCCCAACCCCCATCTCTTGACACCTCAACCCCCGAGCCCTCACTCTATACCCCATCCAACCGTCATAACATTTTGCTAGCTTACATATAAATCCCCTTGCGATATTTTGTTACTAACCGAACACTAGAAAATAGGTAAGAAATCCACTTGTTTTCCAATAAAATATTTTCTAGGAAAACATTTTCCTTCATACCAAACACACCTGATATCTTTATCTATTTTCTATTTTGATTTTGTCTATAATTGGCACATGCGTGTAGGACATGGATTTTCTGAAATTCAGTTTTTAGAGAATACCTGATATGTTCACTTGTTCTCTATTAAACAATTGTTTCTCCAATAAAGTAGTTAAACATCGTGTGTTTATTCTAATTCTTTTTCTAGGTTGGCTTGAAACCTGGTGGACTTTTTGTTCTAAAAGAGAACATTGCAAGAACAGGTAGCATCTCTTTGAGTTCTCTAATTTGTGTTATATGGAAATTAGTTTCACCTACTTCTGTTTATCCATGTTTTCTGTCATATCATGGTCCACATTGATTTTTTCACGTGGCATCAAACAGTTTCCATTTGTTTATCGTGTTGAGTATGATTTTTTTCTTGATATGATGATTTTCTGGTTGGAGCTGAGTAAGTTCTTGACTCCACTATTCCATTGCAATACAATGTACATATAACGATTGAGCTGTAATGTTATGCAAGTTAAATGAAGTATATACATTTTTCAAGGATTTGTGTTGGACAAAGAAGATAAGAGCATCACAAGATCAGATTCATATTTTAAGGAGCTGTTCAAGCAATGTGGACTACACATCTACAAGATGAAGGTACAGATGAAACCTTTACTTCTAACATATGTGCCATAGGGAAGTCTTGAGAAAAAGGAAAGCTTATGTGTTGTAACTTTCAGGAACAGAATGTTCCTTCTAATGATTATTGCACGTCATTTTGTTTCACTGCCATTTCGTCCCTCTTTCTACCGTATTTGAGGTTACAAACAGAGAACTACTTCCCTATTCATGTGCAATTGTGCATCATAATAGAGAAACATGGGCATATGTATACCACCTTCCGTGGTCACTGTGATTTTTGTTACTTGGCACTTAGTAGTGCATGACGTTTTAACTTCGTTACAAGATGATAAACTTCTTCAGATGATTTCAGAGCATGATCGGATCACTATAACTTTTTTCTCTTGAGTATCCTCATCTAGATACAATAATAGTATTAGCTAAATTGTACTTTGAAATGTGTAAGCTTCTAATACTCCCTGAAGGGTGCAATTCTTCTTTGCTTTAACAGTAGACATTCTCTTTGTTAGGATCAAAAGGAATTTCCTGATGAATTATTTGCTGTGAAGATGTATGCATTGACGACTGAGATGCCAGGGCAAGGTAATAAACCTAGACCTAAACGGGCAACTAATAGACCTGCCATCATCAGATAATGAATCACATTGGTCAGTAAATGAATGTGTGGTAACTTCGGAGAAAGTCATTCATAGGTTGTTTTTATGCCACATGTATTCAAGTTGGTCAATGTATGCCTTGTTTAGGTTATTGCTTTTGAATTTCAGCTGTATACACTGATAGTGTAAGGGCGATAAATGTACTTTTAACTTATTTTAGATTATTGCTTATGGTGAAGTACTTGTGCAACTGATTTTAGTTTGAATGTGCATTTTTTAAAAAAAAAAAAACTAATATTCCACTAAGCAGATGCTTAGTTGTTAATTTTTTAGATAATAAATCCATAGGATCATTACCTAGTGCCTGTTTTCTTTGTTGTTTCCTGTATGCTTCCATTGATCAATTTTAATTCTCTGCTCCTCTTATTCTTCATGTATTTGCTTCTCCTCTTCATCCATTCCGTTTTCTCTGCACCTTTCCACTGCTTGGAACTCTTGTTTGTTTAGTTGTTGTACCAACTTATACTTTCCGTAAACTGTTTCTCCAATTCAGGATGTAAGGCTCTACATACCTATTCATTTGTGATTTTGTAAGTTGTAATGGCTACAATATTTGGAAAGATAGTCATATTGAATTGTAATCCACTTAGATTTTATGTCTCTTCTAACTTCATCCTTTATAACATCCTGATTCTCTTAGGGTGTTGAGCTAGCAAATCTACTTCCACTTTCTTTAGCATAACTAAGCCTTATTTTATTGTGTGGCCATGTCCACAGACCACAGTTAAAAAGCCTTTCAACAACAGAGGCTAATGAAAACATTCCCTCTCTTGCTAAGAAATTAGGAGGTAACTCACACATGCTATTGCAGTTGAAGTTTTTTCTTCAAGAACAAATCAAGGATCTCACTTTAACGTTCTCATCTGTCAATGTGTTCTGAAATTTCAAATAACAAGCCGGAGTCAACATCATCTACACATAATCTTCTTCCAACGATGACAATCTAATAAAAAGAATGCCTATTTTCTATGATCTATATTGCTGACTCCTTAATCTTGCATTGAGTAGGAACTATTTTGCATAGTTCATGTACGTCTGGTTTTCCGTATGAGAATTTTCCCAATGCAACATTTCAATTTCTCCTGTATGATCAACGTCTGCATTTTTGAAGATTACCAAGTCACTTGAGGCTCACCTTTGAAAGTACTCTTAATTTTTGTGGAACACTTTGCATGGGGAGTTGTTCGGGCATGACTTCATTAGGTCTGCATGTTTGAACGCGTGTGTGGATGGCAGGGATGCTGAGGGTAGTTAAGCCTGCTGATTGCGAAGGCCATACGAGGTCGGAGATGGCTAGGGCTAGGTGTGGTAGAGAGATTTTTTGCCTTTGTAACTTACTGGTTGGGATGTCTGTTTCTGGATGAATGCATTTTCCAGTGTACTTTGTTATCAATTAGAAGACCCAAAGCAAAAAAGAAAGAAATTGGTGGGCTTTTGAAAAAATATATATAATTCAACACTTAAAATCCAACTGCTAAGGTGTATATGCATAAGTAATTGTTACGAGGCCTTGGGGCTATTACTTTAGGAAAAACTACAGAAATCTCATACATTTGAGGCTAATTACATCATATTTTGGAAGTTCCTTTAATTACAAAAATCTCAAATTTTTCATTGTTGTCGGATACTTTCCTTGGTTGTTCGATACATTGCAAACGATACATTACTTAATGGGAAGGATGTATCCAAGAGGGGATAGGGATGTATCTCCTATAGATGTATTTGAGAGGGGATAAAGATGTATCCGAGAAGAGATTTTTGTAATTCTTTTAAATGGTAGGGAATTTTAGAGAAAGGTTCCACCATTGCAAGCCAAAATATGAAATTGGGTAGTCATAGAGTGTTAACTTTTGACATCGTATCCTTCAATCTTCTAATTTTGTGTTTGGTATGGAGGAAATGTTTTTTTTATGGAAAATATTATTTTAGAAAATGTTTTCTTGGAAAACAGGTTGAAATTTAACTTATTTTCTCATGTTTGGTAGAAAATATTTTTGGAAAACATTTCTAGTGTTTGGTTGGTGAATAAAAAGTATTTTCTTTTATTTTGGTTAGAGGGTAGAAAGTATTTTTAGGAAAATGTTTTTGACCCGAAAATCAACCCTGGTAACTTATCCAGGACCCGATCCCAACACCGACACCCGAATTGGGACACAACCTTGACGATCGATATGGGATTCGACCTGACACCCAACTCAGATATGACTCCGACTCCGACTCCAAATCCAGGACCTGACATTCGAACTAGAACACAATTTCGACCTCGACACCAAATTGAAACACGACTCGATGATTGATTCGAGATTCGACTAAGGACCTGATCCTGACTTTTGACTCGAGATCTAATATTCGAATTGGAATCTGATCCAATCTCGACAACCGAACCTGTACATGACCTTGATGACCGATTCGAGATTTGACTCTGACACCCGACCCGAAACCTGACTCCTACCTAAGACTCAACATTTGAATTGGATTTGACCCTGACCCTAACACTAACACCCGACCTCTTTGACTAATATGAGACTCGATTTTGACACTTGATCTGGGAATCGATCCCAACCTGGGACCAAACTTCTAAACCAAGACTTGACTCTAAAACCCAATTCGAGAACTTACTTCCAAAATGTGATCCAACACTCGACCCCAACACCCAACCTTGACTACCTATTTTCGTCCCAAATTTGATACCTAAATTGGGATTCAACCTCGACTCTCGATTGTAAACCCAATTTCAACACCCTACTTGGAACCCCACCCCAACACCTGACCCAGTACTTGATCCCTTTACATGACCACAACTCTCGATTCAGGATTCGACTTTCAAATCATAATCTTATCTTGACTTCCAACTTGAGATTCGACTGCTGAATTGGGACCAAATTTCAACACCCAATCCAGGACTCAACTTTTGATCCAGGATTCAATCCCAACCCAATCTGGGACTCGAGAGTTGGGTCTTGAATAGAGGTCGGAAGTCAAGATCCAAATTGAGAATCATGAGTCAAATCACGAATCAGTATCAAAAATTTGTATCTGAGACTTGAGTTATAGTGAAAAGTTGAGGTGTGAGGTTGGAAAAGAGTTTTGGAGAATATTTTCTTACTTTTTGGAGGTAAGTCATTTTCCTTAAGTTTGAAAAAAATAAGTTAATTTGAAAAATATTTTTCAAAACCATACATAAGAAAATTGCTTTCTTCATACCAAATACACTCTTAAGATTTGGGTCGCTTTTATTTCAAAACACCTTTAACCTCTTACCAAGTGCCATGCAATAGATTTCATTGAAGGCTTCTTTAAATCTTTATGTTGAGGATTAAACACAGAGCTATGGAAAAATAGGTTTCAGTGGTCTCTTCCAACATAATAGTGCATGTAATAATATTTTGTTACTTTACCGTTTTGATATTCTTCTTATTATTGAGACTATTGTAAGTTGTTCATTCCATTTGCAAGTGTTTGATTCTGAGTGATCTCCTTATCTTATAGTATTAGCATGTAACAATTCGTTCCGTCTTTATCGAAATATCTACGGTCAAGGTGTAAGAGTTTTTATCTTCTTAATTCCTCCCCAATATGAATTTGAGCGGATGTATCAGTTACTTTGTTTATTGTAACACCTAAGATTTGAATCATCCTATATGTGTACATTGATCCAAACTCGATGAAATTTAATTGTTCATTGGTGTTAATATTAATTCTTTAGTGTGAGAGTGCATTAGGTATGGACTAAGGTTATAAGAAAATCTTAACATGAAGTTGAGTTGTAAGTGTCCATACCGATTGAGTTTCGATATGAGGTTTTTACTATGTCGAACTTCAAATGGGAACCCGTCATATAATATGAAAGGTTATGCATCCCATAACCTATTAAACTAAAGGTCTTTGAGTCTTCTATTTAACGTCACAATCGTTTATTAAAATTGGAGTCTTATATGCATAATTTAATTAAAATAAATTATATTGTAAATCCTTTATAACTTAAAAAAGAAGAAGATATTTGGATGAAGTAAAATTTAGAATAGTAACTAGGGTCAGTTAAGCCACAACAAACAAATAGAAATTGTTTATTTGTTGAACAAGGAAAAAGATGAAATTTTGATGTTTTTAGCTTTTTAAATTTATATGCTATTTTGAATAATTACTTTTTATTTTCAAGGAAGGTACAAAAAAATATAAAAGCAAGCAAAATTGATAAAGGTGTTTGAAATTATAAGAGTAAAATTACTATGAAAAAGTTCTCATCAACAATAACTCTTGAAAAATATTGAAGTTCCTTCGTTAAAGTCATTTATTGACATGACTTTTATAAGCTAAAAATAAATTTATGAGCAAGAAAATGAAATAAGGAATTATATCTAAGATTACTTACGAAGTAATTTTTACATTAGTTATTTTAAATGTAGCATATAAATCATGAAAAACATAACAAAAAGTCAACAAAGAGAGCGATTAATTTTTAAAATTTTCCATAGAAATAAGTAAACGAAGAATAGAGAATTGACTTGTTGATAATTTAAGGAAAAGATGATAATATTTTTTAAATTTTTTGGAGGACTAAATATAATTGTGACCACAAGAAAGAAAGTAAAATATAATTTATTTTAAAAAAAAAAAAGCAAATGTAAAGAAATGAAAAGGAAAGAGAGTAAAGATTGGATCCGCAAAATAATCTTGGGACGATCATAAATAAGAGTTAATTACATGACAGATATAATTAAACAAGAAGGGAAAAGATAAGCAAATTTATATTTATAAATATCATAAAGTTAGACAAAAGAGAAAAGTTGACCAAAATAATCTATTATTTGATTCAATTTATCAAAATAATATGAAACACGTTATTGGTAGTAACATTTTAGGCTTAAAATGTTACCATCAATAACGAGTCTCTGCAAATCTACCATATTAGAATCTTTGTACCAAATTTTATTATTACGAAACACGTTTTAAAGGTAAAATGTTACTCTTAGTAACGATTATGTCGAATCAAATCACAAGTCTACCACCTAAGAATCTTTGTAAGAAATTTGAAGTTAAAGTCGTTACTATAAGTCACGTGTTAAGATTAAAACATTACTCGAAGTAACGATTCTATCGAATCATGTCACAGGTCTGTGAAGATGTCTTGTTGATTTGATCTACTAATAAAATGTTACTATAAGTTATGTTTTAAATTTAAAACGTGACTGATAGTAA